GTGGTGGTCACCGTAGTGGAAGTGGCGGACGAGTTATCTTTGCTATTCTTCGAGTTGAGCTCCACACCAGTCGTACGCTTGTCCGTGTCGGCAGATGACTGCTGAGGTGGAAGAAAATCTTTGAAAAAGTTCACTGCCACCGCCGGAGGCGAAGGACACAAATCCGTGTGTGACTCATTCTCGTCCGGATCAAGCCATCGTGCATGACGCCTGATACGGGACGAGCGATGCCACTGGCTGGCGGAATTGTAGCACTCGTCTAACTGGTTGGACCAGTCCGGTGACCCGATTGGATTGGTCATGACATCCTCGACCAGGAGACTGGTGGCAAACTGACATATGGCCATGCGATAAGCATTCTGGGGAGAAAGAAACCAAAAAAAATGTAAGTGTATTTAACAAGCCACATTGAGTAAGGGTCCACAGACAATGTTATGATCTTTGATAATCTGAGCTGACTATCTTTCGGACTTCATCTTATGCACAATCCTCAGTTCATCGATTCAACCATACACTCAGGAGCACTAATTACTCAAGCTCCAATTATTTAAAACCACTACTCACAAGCAACTGCGAGTCAAACTTGAAATGTTGTGATTGTTTGTTTTTAAAAACGAGTCATGCGATCGCTTAGAGCAGCTTGACCACCACTGACTGTTTTGCTAAAGGTTCACAGCTCGCGTCACAGTAGCGATAAGGTTACCAGCTGTGTAAATCAATGAAGTTGAAATGCATTTAGATGCTCGGCGCATTGTGGAACCATTTCCAAGTGACGGAGTTACCAGAACCAGGACTGACTCCATGCGAATGTGAGATGTCAGGATCACCGTGACCGGCGGTTATGGACACTAGGCGATACGGTTAAGTGTCGCAAACAGTAGCACTCATGGTTCTTCTCAATGTTTCTTTTGCAGCCTTAGTTTACGGGAATTCTCCTATTTCTATTCGACACTGTTGTCAATGGACCAATCTTTCTTTCTTCGACCCCTTCATCCAAATGGGCAACTACAACCGGCGCACGACATTGCACAATTAGCAGTTGCACTAACTGAAAAAGTTCAATGTGTTCGTCAGACAAATTACAAGACTGCCTGTCTGTCCGGTCAACGTATACGCTTGTGTAAGGACAGGCAAACACCAGCACATAACCTGAATAATAAACATTTGCTATCATGTTCACAGTTGAATTATCACCGAATAGAGCTATATGCCATCGAGCACATTGGCAGATCGAGAATGGGAAAACGATCGTCAGTTGGCGGATGTGGTGACCCCACACATAATACCATATTTATCTCTGGAAAGCATCGTCACGTATCGAATGCGGATCGCGGACCCTTTACCGAGTACTATTCACTGGAAAAGGGGTTTTCTGACTCAGCCGAAACAAAGCTACCTGCTTGCAGTACGCGCTTGGTTTTGCAAATTGTAGTGTACCCTCGAGCAAAGTCGAACCAGACCGAGTTGTTCAACCGGGCAACAATGTGGATAATGAAGAACTTTCTTGCACTAATGAATATTGTGGATGATATATGGATAAGGATATTAAAAGAAAAATACAGACGGTGAACAAGCTTGTTTATGCAACTTCATCTACGGTCATTTACAGTTGTGTGTTTGCGTATACATGTATAAGGTAGAAATAAAAACGTGACGTTCAAGAAGAACACTGTCTGCCACGTGCAATAGGGGCAAATGGAGAATGGAGAGGGGCGACTAAGGTTACATGGCTCCGTCCAGTGGTGGATTTAGAATTTCGACTAATACTGCTTCTTCCGTTGTCGAAAGTAGTTCTACATTGTAAAAAACTTTCAATGTATCTCCGCTGTCTATTTGGTGTCCGATAACAACAGGGTGACCTATAATCGCACTGGTTATTGTGTTCATGCATCCCGTGCTTAACCAGACCAGTTTATGTTCTATGATCCTTTGTGATAACTCTATTTCGTCCTAAATAATTTGCCGAACATGTCCAAGTGACGGAATATGTAAACAGGGATCGGGAAAGGATGGACAGTTTCACCTTGAGGCTTGTGCAGAGCTGAGGCCGGCACGTAGTGGCAGCTGGATATGTTCGTGTGTGACGTTTACAAGCTGACCGAAACATTTCCTAAACCTGAAAAATAAGCTGCCCATCCTCTCCTCGTTCATGATTAGATATTCCAACACTGACACATGTTCGACAAGATAGTTTTCACAAAGAATCAGAGGACATAAAGCGAACTAGTTGAGCATGGGATGCAAGAAAACAATAAGCGGTGTGGATGTGGCCCGGATATCGTGATCCTGACCGGAGACCTAAATGCCCGCGTTGGTCGTCTGTCACCCGATGAGACCCATCTAGGTGGCCATGGCTGTCGTGTAGATAATTGGGATAAACTTCTTAGCATATGCTCAGAACACGGTCTGTTCCTCGTTAGCACGAACTTCAGACATTCTAAGCATCACCTCGCCACCTGGCGTAACCCCTCTTCGGCACAGATGTGGAGTCAGACTGACCATATAGCTATTAGCTATAGATGGAGGTGTGCGAAAGACTGCCGTTCGTATTGGTCTACCAGCTTGGACTCCGACCACGCTCTGGGTTGTGCCATGTTGTCTATGCTATTTGGTGGCCGCCAAAAGATGCAATGCAAACAGCTCGACATCGTGTCGCTTTTAGACATCAGAGCGGTTTTCGACTCCATCGATCGCCCCGCACTATGCAACTGTTTGCGGAGATACGGAGTACCCGAGAAGTATGTCTCACTCCTAAAAGCGCTCTATCACCAGACCTCGGGGAAGGTTAGGGCCTATGGTGAATTTTCACCCTCATTCCTTGTCACCAGTGGGGTGTGACAGGGTTGCCCTATCTCTCCGTTTCTCTTCAACTTTGCCATAGACGATGTCCTACAAAACGCGTTATATGACGAAACGAACACTGGCGTCCAGCTTCTTCCTGGGGACAGAGTCGTAGACTTAGAGTATGTCGATTATATTGCCTTACTGGGTGACAACGCGCCAACGATTCAAGAGTCATTGAACCGTTTGGCGATTGGGGTTACTCGTCATGGTATCTCATTTGCACCTTCAAAGTGCAAAGTGTTGTTGCAAGACTCGCGGGAACCTATCCCTGCACTTTCATTGGATACTGACACTCTGGAACTAGTCGAAAGCTTTGTCTACCTTGGGAGTTGCGTAACAGCTGGCGGAGGTGTGGGCGAGGAGATCTCTCAGTGCGTGATCAAAGCTAGATTAGCGTTTGCTAATCTGCGGCGTCCCTGGCGCCGGCGCGATATATCCCTTTCATTGAAAGGGCGTGTGTATTGCGTAACGGTACGCACCGTGTTGATCTATGGCTGCGAGACCTACCCTCTCCGAGCAGATCACATCCACCACCTATCAGTCTTCGACAACCGCTGTCTGCGCAACATCGCCCGTGTATAGTGGGAGCACCGCGTGAATAACGATGAAGTCAGACGACGGGTGCTGGGACCAGATAGTCATCCTTTGGGAAAAATAATTTTACAGCATCGTCTTAGGTGGCTAGGGCACGTCCTCCAAATGCCTGAGCACCGTCTGCCACACCGTGCACTACTAGCAGACATCGTTCCAGGCTGGAAGAAACAACGAGGTGGGAAGGCTATGACGTGGCGCAGAGGGTTAAAGAGATTGTGCTCGGATCTGGCTTCCGTTGGGGTTTCTCGCCTCCCCGGCTGGGGACTCAAAGATTCAGATCGTCTTTCGCTGGAGACACTACAGGATATGGCATCGAACCGAAGTCAGTAGCGCGAGTGTATCACTTGTTGTCTGCAATCCCAAAAATGAACAAAAACGAAAAAACCCTCAAACTGGTGTGAAGTAAATAAACAAAAAACTGTTACTCCTCGAAGTTGACTGTTTTATTTTGCCCGCTTTTGTACCTGCATTTTTTTCGTTCACCCATGGTTATTTTTGGCGCCGTATCTGTACATATA